TCTCCCATCTTTCTTGCTCCCTTCAGGCCATGGAAGGCCACAATTACATAACCTGAAGCCTTTTCTTTTCCAAGCTGAGCAGTTCCAATTCTCTTAGCCTTTCCTCATAGCATAGCTGCTCCATCCCTCTGATCATCTTGGTGCCTCTTCTAGACTCACTCCAGTAGCCCCATGTCCTTCCTGTGCTGGGACCCCAGAGCTGGAGATAGCTCTGCAGGTGAGGTCTCACCTGAGTGGGGCACAGGGGCAGAATTCCCTTCTCCCTTGCCACTCACACTGTGGGATCAACCCAGGAGAGTTTCTGAGCTGGGTCATGTCCAGCTCTCACCCACAAGCACCCCCAGCCTGCTCTCAATCTGCTCATCCTCAGCCTGGATTGATACTGGGGGTTGCCCTGATCCAGGTGCAGCATTCAGCACTTGGTCTTGTTAAACCACGTGAGATTCCTATGAGCAAGGAATACACAGGTGGCACAAGCCTGATTTGGCTCCCCAGGGCAGTGTTTTACCCCTCCACAGCTCAGTGGTGCAGCTAGTGAACCCTGGAAATGAGCTTCCATGTCATGAGACATTTAACTAAGAGCAGGTAACACACACGTACCTCCTTGAGTCATTGGAGAAGGAAAAGGATTGTACACCAGCAGTGTGGCCTTTCAATTCAAAAGCCCTGGTTACCTCGCTGAAGTCTCCATTCTTGCTAAAACACACCTCCCACACCTTCACATCGGGGGTAAAGCCACAGGATGCCACAAACCTGCATGAAGGAACAAGCGGAGACACAGGCTGCCTCTTACAGAGGACCTGAGCGAGGCAGGGCCACAGCTCTTGCAAACCTGTCCTGACTCCTGCGCTCAAGTCTGGTCAGCTGTAATTTCCACTTTTCCCTGAAATCTGGCTGATTAATGGACGTGATAAATGGAACGTGGACACGATTTTCCAAACCTGAGCTTCAGCCTTTCGGTGGCTGATGTGTTTCCCAAGGGAAAGTCTTTTGGGAAACTTTTCTCTCTCAAGGACTGTTGTGTAAATAGGATTTTAGTTCTGAAAACAACGGCACAGATGTTCTAAGAGTGTTTCTTCACTTGTCCCACCAATGGGATGAGAGATGTGTTGTTCCTTGCACTGATCAGGTTAACCTGTATCAGAATACCTTATAAAAAGGGTTGAAAACCCTGAAATAAAGGCTTTTGCCTCCTCGGAAATGAAATCTCAGCTGCTGCAATATTGAACCCTCGCTTCCTACTCTGTGTCCCCTAGCGACAAGGGAACACTAAGGAAGGGCACCAGAACAACTCAGGAATGAGAAACTCTCCGGGCAAAGTGAAAGAGCTAAATGCTTTTGATCCCCAAACTCCTCAAGCCAGGAACAAGGCAAATCAACCTACAGCAGCGAGCAATTTTCCTGATAAAGAGATCTCCCAGAAATAAAACCTTTACTTTTATTACTAACCTTTAAGAGGTCATAGACAAGTTCAAAATGCTGTTTTCTTTGCATAGGTCATTTGCTCTGTCCCACCTCTGCAACCTAAGGCTGAAGCTGTTCTCGGGTTACCAGAACAGCAGTGCTGAGGCAGGACAGCAACAAAGGAGTGCCTGAGCCCACATGAGCTCCATCTCCCGGGGGGCCAAAATACCTTTTTAAACTGTGGAACCCTCAGAAAATTGCATTACAGTAACAACTAACAGCCGATGGTCTGAACTGATGCTATCCTGTACAAAGGAGCAGCCTGGAATCCTGTCACTCACCTCCCACAGGGTGACACTGTGGTATAGGCATTGTTGATCTGGTTGGTGTTAATGCTGGCCAGGACTTCTCCCTTTGGGCTCCAGATCAGAATGGTGGTGTCACTGGAAGCTGTCATGATAAACTTCCCTGGGGAAAAAAAGGCAAAGATCAGAAAAGTCCCCAGACCTAATGCTGCTGCAGACTCAATAAAAGCCCAGGACAACTTCTCCCTGCAGCTGGAGAAAACCAGCAGCAGCACCAAAATCCAAGGAGTGTATCCTGGGACAGAGTAAAGAGCAGTATGAGAAGACTCAGCTCCTGGTTATGCTTCAGTACTCACCCTGGCTCCCAAGCAGGCAGCAGGCACTGAGCCCATGTGTGCCCTGTACTCAGGACCCTAAGCCCTACAAGCAGAGCTGGGAGCCTCATGTGCAGCCTCACTGGGCTGTGCCACAAACAGGAACAAAGCACATTCCACCTGACCACGCATGCCCAAACTCAGCTCGAGGATAAGCACCTTTCAAGCTGTGGATAGCAGGCAGGCAACTGAATCCCAGTCACACCTCTATGATCCATGACTGCTGGTTGTGCCCACTTTCCCCTTTGCCAACACAGCCCAGGCAGAGAGTTGCCTGTTTACCTTCCAGCTACCTGTTGCACGTTTAAGGTTTCACTTTCACAGCTGCAGTCTCCGTTAACATTTTCCCTGCTCTCTTATTACAGAGGTGAACTCACATCCACCTGCTTGCAACTGCCACTGGCACATACCTGATGCATTAATCCATCTAGCCCTCACCACTAAAATGTAACTTCTACCCACACACCCTCACCTGTTCTAGATGATCCCAGAAGTTCAAGATAGAGCGTATGAACTCACTAGAGAGATTTCTGACTGGTTAAAGAGAGACTGGCAACCCAGAGAACATTGAGCGATCCTCTCAATATTGCGACCAGATCTCTTTGAAACAGCATCCTTGAAAATGTAAATTAAGGGACCATGCGTATCAGAGAGCTGGTTACAGGGACATAATCGGTGTCAAAACCGCACCTTTCGGTTCAGTTGGTAGAAAATTAAGTAAAAAAACCTAAGAGACTACAGAGTTCAGTACTGGTGCTGTACACAGTCCTGAGAATGCCAAAAGCTCCAACACTTTGAATCCAGTAGCTTCACAAGGATATCAAAGCTAATCTGGAGAGGTGAGCAGCTCATTTCCATACCTGTCTCTGCAATCCCTATGTTAATGACAGGAGCTTTGTGCTTCTTTGGGAAATCCCCAGAAGTCGCTGTGAAGGTGAAGCTGCCATCATCCTTCTTGGTCATCTTGTAGACACGCAGAGTCTCAGCATTGGCCAGCCAGACAATGAAAGCCCTGTGGAGAGACAGGCTCCGAGCCCCAGCTCAGCCCAGGTCGCTCAGGGGCACCTGGGGAGAGGGATACACTGGAAGGTAGAAATATTTACAAGGGCACCAAGTTCTCTCCCTGTGTTGTCTCAACTGCAACACTGAATGAAAAACAAGGGAATTTATTATCCACACCAGGGAATGAGATCCCTTCCTCTCTTTCTAAAAGAGACCACTTAAAAAAGCCAAAACACACTTTTCCACCAAATTTCCCACCCAGCAAGAGCTCCCCTGACCAACGGAGAGACTCAGCAGCACATTCCAACAGCAGAGTCAGCTGGCAGCGACCTCAACGGGTACCTTCTATGCGTGCAACAAGCTGGGCACTGGGATATTTGCCCTGAAAACCACATTAACCCACCAGGAGCTGGACTAGATGATCTCCAGAGGTCCCCTCCATCTCAAACTACTGTGATTCTGTGATTAAGTGCCAGCTGCTCTCAGGAAAGGCCACAGATCAGTGATACCATGATGACCTAGTGACAGATACTGCCTCCACCCATCCCAGAGCAACACCACTGATCCCAGCATAGCTTGGCCGTGAGACTGGCAGCTTTGCAGGACATCCCGGTGCCAGTACAATGTCTGGCCATACCGTGAGTCGGGGCTGAAGCGGACAAGCTCGGCGTGGTCCAGCTCCACGTTGGCACGCAGGCAGCGGTGCTCCCGCCCTGCCAAGTCCCGGGTGCTCCACAGCCGCACCGTGCGGTCCTCAGAGCACGACGCCAGGTACTTGCCGTTGCTGCTGAAGTCCAGGCAGGTGACCGGGCTGCTGTGGCCCTGCAGACAAGAGAGTGGTCACAGAGGACGCGAGGGCGGGGCGGGTGCAATGAGACACCAGCACCGGTGGGGAAGAGGAACACCAGCATAGGCGGAACGCCAGCACCAAGAGGGACACCTGCACCGACTCCGGCAGGACGGCGGCACCGGGGGAAACGTCGGCAGGACACCGGCATCGAGTGGGACACCGATACCGAGGAGCACACCGGCATCAGCACCCGGGAGGCACCGGTCCCGGGCATACGCGATACCTTCAGGGCAGCGACGAGCAGCCGGTGTGCGAAGCTGTGCTGCTGCGGCTTCTCTCTGCGAGCCCTAGCCGCCGGCTTCGCCTTCCGCGGCTCCTCCGGCCTAGCGTGCCCGTTCGCCCTGGGTCCTGCGGGAGCGGAGGAGTCGGTGGGTCCGGTTCAGCTCCGCTCCGCTCCGCGCTGCCCGGTGCCCCGCCGTTCCCACTATACTCACCGTCCTGCGGGGCGGTGGGGGTCTCCCGCGGAGCGGAGCGTTGCACCGCGATCGCCAGCAGGAGGACGAGGAGGACGAGGAGGATGAGGGCACCCGGCAACCCCGACCCGCCCAGCGCCGCCGCCGCTGCCTCCATATTCCCGCCGCCGCGTCAGCGACCGATACCAAGGGGTGAATTTCCGTGTGCGCATGCGCGGCCCCGGTGATCCGCGGAGGACGGCCCCTGGCGGCGATACTGCAACCGCCCCCTCACCCCTCCCCCATTCAGTCACGGACACCCCCCACGCTCTTCTAGCCCCTGTTTCTCAGCCCCTGCCTCACAAAAAGCCCCATCAACCCCCCAGACCCTCTTCTGCCACAGCCCCCCAGCACCTGACCACCCCAGCCCGTGCCTTCCGCACAACCCAGGGGTCCCTCATCCCACCCCCAGCTTCTACGTCCCTCCTACCCCGGCCCCTGCCCCCCCAGCCTCTGTCCTCATGCTCCCCAACGCCGCCCCCCCTCCAGTCTCTGCTCCCCCAAGCCCGGGCCATCACCCCGCTCCTGCCCGCACCACCGCCCCACTGCCTCTTCCTTCACTTGCCTCCAGTCTCAGTTTCCCTCATCCCCCCCAGCCCCTGGCCCCCTTCCCAGTAATGGCTTTCATCCCTCCGGTAATACCCCCCTCAAGTCCCGGTCCCTCTCCGCCCTTCCCGGCCGTGCCCAAAGCGGCCCCCGGGCTGAAGAACTACGCGGGGTCCGTGGCACAGCAAGTCCTTTATTGCAGGGGGTCGGGCCGGGACAGCCCTCGCGCAGTCTCGGCTCCCCACGCCGGTGCCCGTGGGACATCCCGGAAACCCCGGACCAGTCAGGAAGAGGAGGAGGCGCTGGGGCGTGCCAGCGCCGCCACTGCCCGTGCCGCCTGCTCGGGGACTCGGGCCGGGTCGCTGAGGATGGAGGTGGAGATGCTCAGCTGCCGCAGAGAGCTCAGGACGGCTGCGGGGACAGGAGACAGGGGGCTTCCTGGGGAAGATGGCGCTGCCCGGCCCGGTCCAGGCCCCGGAACGGTGGGACCGGTCGCTCCCGCAGCACACGCAGTGAAGTGAAACCCACCCTGAGGGGCTGTGGGGAGGGCTGAGCCTGCCCTGCCAGGAGACGGGGTTAGGGCACTTCCGGCTCAGCTGGGGCGTGGGTGACAGGAGCGCGGGAAAGCAGTGAGCAGGCGCCCCAGGACATCCCACAGATAAGCCCTACCGTCCCCCAGGACACCCCTGTCCTTTCCGCCTCTGTCTTTCCCTCAGTCCATGCCAACCCAGCTAGCTCAAGGTGCCACAGCCAGGCACAGGCACCTACTTGGCCGAAGCGCTGGGAGGGAGCAGTGCTGGTCCAGCCAGGCAAGAGATGTTTGGGTGAGGCTCTCCATGCTGGCTGTGGACACCATGCCATTGAAAGACTCGAAGAGAGGCCGGATGATGATACTGAACTGGTGGGATCAGAAGAGTTAAGGACCAGCTTTGCTATGACAATGGTCTCACTCTTCCCAGTGTGGGTATCACCCTCCTATGGCAGCAGGACAGACTTTCCTGTCTAGACATGGAGCAGAACTACTGGGGCAGCAGGACAGGCCATGGAACAGATCTGTCGAGTGCCTTCCCAGCACAGCACCACACCTGGCACTAGCCCAGACTGCTGGGGTCATGGCATGAGTGTCACGTGGGTAGGCAGTGCAAACCCCCTGTCATGGCTGGAGCTTCCAGAAAAGGTTGCTGAGACACAAGATATGTCCTCCAGAGCAGGTCAGGGAACCAGCTAGCAAAGCGCTCAGGGGCAAGGTAGGACACCAGTGTGTCTCATAAGCTCCCCTGTTGCTCCCAGCCTGCAGGGACCAGCCTGGTAATTTTGTGCAGGCAGTATTCCACAGAGATACCTCCCACCATAAGCATGTCCTGGAGCCCGTACTGGCTTTATGGCACCCCATGTCCTGAGGAAGGAGTTCCCCAGCTCTTCCCCCAGAAGTCACGTCCACCTCGTTCCACATGACCTGTGCTGGATGGGACCATGGGCAGCAGTGCCTTTCATCACTCTGCCACTTGAGATTTCACAGACCTCACGGGCTCTGCCAGTGAGTCCCAGTGTGTCTAATCCGTACTCACAAAGGAGCCGATCCAGCCCTTTGCCCACAGGTTCCCTGATTCCTTGATCCTCTCCATCTGTGTTTCCAGGGTATGCCATGCAACCACTCAGATGAAGTCATCATGTCCCCAGTTTTGTGTCTGGGCTTATCCTAATCCATGGCTGCTGCCTCTCAGAGCCAGTTCCCATGTCATCAGGAGCAATTCCCTCCATAAGCTTAGATCCACTTCCCTTCTTCCCGAGAACCATTTATTCAACTGTTTTTGATCCCTTGGAGAAGAATATCCCTCCTAACCACAGAACATCAGTGTGTTCCCACCACGTGACTTTTGCTGGGAAACATCTCCCAGTGGTCCCCCAAAGTCTCCCGAGCTTGAGGGACCCCAAAGATCCAGTAGCAGCAGATGAACCAGAGCACCTGGTGTCTGGTGCAGGGTAAGAGGGAGCAGCAGGCACTGGCCCCAAAGGATACGATCCAGAACTTCCAGTTCTGCAGTGTGGAGGAGCGAACATACTCGTCAAACATTTTGCGCATGTGGTCAAAGCGCTGGCGTGTGATGGGCACCCCTGTGGCCGGCAGCTGCTCCTGGCACAGGCTGTGGGGCACAACCAGTGTCGTGGGGCCACGTTCAGGAGGCTGGGAGCCACGGAAGCTCAGCAGGAGTTACCAGCCAATGTCCCACTCCCAGGGCAGGTGTGGGACCTGGCCCAACTCCATCCTGTCTCTTGAGCATCAGCCCTCCCACAGAGAGGGTTTGAAGAGGGACAGTCAGCTGGGAGGTGCTCCAGGGAGACCTGCTGCTGTCCTGGCACAGCTGCTTGCCCTGCCTGGCTACCCCAAAGCAGACCGTGCTCCCCCATCTCTCCCCGCCATGGCCCCCTTACTTGATGGAGCCGTTGAGTTCCTCGATCTGGTCCCGCAGACGCTGTGCCTCATCCTGCAGGGCTGCCCGCTCCTGCTGCAGCTTGCAGATATATTCGGCTGTCTTCTGCAGGGTGGTGGCCTTGCTGATCTGGGGGGCCGTGGGGTGAGAGAGGAAGGGAGCCCAGACCACCCTCGCACGGCCGCACTGTGTGCCTGCTGTGTGCTCTAGCCTCCTGCACCACAGTCTGGGGCACAGGAGAGGAGCTCTGTACCGTGGGTCACAGCAGGGATGCAGCATCTCTGGGTGATGCCATGTCCCCGCATGCCCAGGGCTGGCCCTGGGTGCTCACCTTGACGCTGGGCTGAGCACTCAGTGTGCTCACCAAGCTGTGCAGCGTGGTGAAGCCAAGCTTGATGTTGAAGCGTCTCTTCTGCTCAGCGGAGATGTGTGTGATGCGGCGGCTCTCCAGCTGCAGGTCAGTGCCATCAGGCACCTCCCAGCAGCAGGGACAGCCATGGGCCACCAGCCCCATTGTGGACAGGCTGGCCCAAAGCTTGAAGTGAGGGTGGATGGTGTCTTCAGGGGTGGAGGAAAGGGGGTGCATATGAAGTTGGCAGCTCCTGCCATACCTTGCTGGACTCAGGCCTTCCCAGACGGGACACAGGCTGGTGCAGGGAGATGCTAGTGCCCAGCTTTGCAGTGGGTCCTGGGGAAGCCTGGCTGGGCTTGCACCAGTCACTGCCTGAAAAAGGGAAGGTGCTGCTATGAAGAGAGGGATAGCAACAGCACTCGTGACAAGGTGACTTCTCAGCACCTGGGATGGGAAGAGAGGGGCATCCCACAGTGCTGCCCCCACCCCAGGACAATCCACCCCACTCAGCTGATAGGGATGCTCCACTTCAGCCTCCAAGCACACATTATCCCAAATCCCACTCATTTTACAGCTGCTCAGAAATGGGAACATCTGGGATTTGACATTTTAAATTCCCAGCATTTCTTGGGGTGGAAATTCCACGGAAAGAGTTGCGAGGGCAGCAAGGTTGTGGTGTGCAGCACCAAACTGAACTGGGAACACCAGAGCCTGGTTTCCAGCAGCCACACTGGTTACTGTGGGTGAAAGCGGATGCTTCTTGCTCCAAAACCAAACTCCGGGGTTTCAAAACCACAGTCCGACATTTTGCTCCATTTTTGTCTTTCCCTATTTCTGCTTTTGCTGCTGGAGAAAGCGGCAGGTGAAGGGGCACAGAAGGAACCCTCCATGCTCAGCCGGATAATTGAAAATAGCTGGGTTTGAAGCCAAAATTAAAATTCCCACAGTGTTTGGTCCAAGCTCTCTGCAGGAACCCCAGTGCCCTGTGGAGCTCCTTGGGGTGCTCCAGACTCACCACAAGTCAAGGTGGGGGACTGCTGCTCTGCCTTGGGGACTTGTAGGGGGCTCGGCTGCATGCCCACTGTGTGCAGCAACACTTGGGAAGGGCTGGAGCCAGGAGCCAGTCCTGGGCTCATCTGGGCCATTCTGGAGAGGAAGGTGGCAGGGACTTTGGGGACAGTGCTCTGCTGCTGGGAGAAGGCAGAGGGAAGGGGAAGTTGGGAGATCAGCACCCCATGCACACCAGGCTGGCCATTGCCCAGGCACTGGCAACCAAACCACCATGAGGGGATAGGGAAGGGGGATATGCAGCCCCATGCCACCATCTGCAGGGGCAGTCCCAGCAGCCCTGGATGTAAGCAGGATGTCTCTCACCTCTGCGTTGGTTCTTTTACAGGAGAAGAAACTCGGGCAACTCCTACTATCCCCAGCCACATGCCCCCTCCATTTCTGTCCAGCCCACAGCAAAGTGTGAGCCCCCAAAACCCATCTCCGCCCCTTCCCCAGCAGCCAGGAGAAGGAAATTCCCAACCCAGAGGGTTGTTTAGTGCTTACCGGTGAGACAGGGGCTGTGGGCATGAGTCCTGCACCCATCAGGCAAGGGGGATCCAGCACCAGGTCCTGCTTGGCTGAGGGGGCAGGGAGCAGATGGGAACTGCTGCTTTGGGCTGTTGGGGCTGGGGTGACCTTCCCTGCCCCAGGAAACAGCCAGCCCCTCCCTACATCAGAACTGCTGCAGCCCCTTCCCTGCTGGAATGCCCCAGAGAACAGGGATGCACCTCTGGAGGTGTTCTCTTGTTCTCTTCAAAACAGGGATGTTCTCGGGAGCCTTGTGCAGGCAGGGAGCCCCAGCTCCTCCTCAAGCAAGCAGAGGGCCATGACAGTGCCCAAGGGACCTGTCCCATCACACCCACAGGCAGCGTATCAGGCAGGACACCAGTGACCCCCCATCCCATTGTGCCAACAGGGCCATAGAGACCAGACTGGGGACACAGGAACTTCTCAGCAGTGCCTTTAGCCAAGTTCTGGGGCTGGGCTGCATCTCCCCCTGAGGCCACTGAACCTAGGGTGATCCCGCAGGCATGGCTTCACCCCTGGATTTGGAATTACCCTGCTATGGGGACTGCCATGTGCCCTGCCCAGTATTCCCTGCATCCCAACGCCAGGGAGAAATGGGGTCCCTACTCTGTTCCCCACAATAACATGCCTCCCACCTCACTCCTGTGTCCCCCCACAGCCCCCCAACCCTGTTACCTGTGGTCAGGAGCTGGCTCAGGCAGGGGTTGGGCTCAGGCAGGTGGGACAGGGGATGTCCTGGCAGCCTCCTTGCCTTGGTGCCGCTGGACTTTGCCCTGGGCCACCCACCTCCACCCTGGGGCAGCCCCTTGGAGGGGGCAAACCTGGGGTTGCCCAGCAGGGCTTGGGGGAGGAGTTGGGAGACAGCAGGGCCGGGATATCCCTGGGGCCCCATGCCTGTGGCATAGCCCAGCCCTGGGATGCAGGGGGAAAAGCAAGGCCTTGAGGGAGGGGAGGTAGTGTGGGTGACAAGTGAGGGGTCAGGTGAACTGCTGTAAGGGAACTTAGAGAGAGGGGTTGAGGCAGGGGAGAAGGAGGGTTCCAGGCTCAGCAGTGGTGCCTGGGGGGATGGGATGGTGGGGACATAGTGGGGTGTTGGTGACTCCAGGCTGAGGCACTTGCCAGGGAAGTCGTACTGCAGTGTGGGCTTGTGTCGGAGCTGGGGACTGAGGCTGCTGGGTGCCACGTCGGGGTGTTCGGGGGGCAGGGGGGCCGGGGGCAGCTCGGAGCCTGGGAAGGTGCTGTGGAGGCTGAGCTGGGAGGCATCACTGGGCTGCAGAAGACATGGCAGGGTCAGGGCGGGTGACTGGTACACCACCAGTAAGCCACAGGCTACAAGCTGGAATCCCACTCACCTGGAGGAGGGTGCCAGGTAGGATCGGGGCCTCGGGACTCACAGGCAGACTCCGAGCACCCATCAGGGACTCCCCACTGCTGAACAGGGGTTCAGCCATAGGCGAGAAGCAGGATGGATCCTGGTAGCCTGGTTGTGTCTGAGATAGGGGTGGCCGGTGGCTGGTGAAGATTTCTGCAGAGCCAAGTGGAGACACAGTGACCGGCACAAGTGGACCTGCCCGGAGAGGAAGGGGACACCCTGGGGCATGAGGGGTTACTTCATGTTACGCCAGTTATGCCAGTAATATACCCTGTTACTGGCAGCTTGCACTTTTTGGGGCCAGGCAGCTCCAGCACATGTTCACCCAGGGCCAGCATTGCCACATGCATAGGGGCAGAAAAACCCACCTGGAACTCCACCCAAGTGTGGGGACCCCATCCCTGACACCCAGCTGACTTCCATGTGCTCCAGCCCCAGAGCTGTTCCCAGGGGTGTGTGTTGCTGTATCAGCCCCAGGCTGGGGCAGGGACTGACACCCTGGCTGGGGGGCAGCCACAGCAGAGGGGATGGGCAATCAGGTCATGGCATTCCCAAGCCGTGGAGATGGTCCCCTGGCGTGGTGACAAGTTCTGTGCTGCCCAGTCCAGCGCTGCTGTATGCGCAGCCTGCGGCTAACCACATCCCATGGCCTTCCCAAAGCTGAGCCGCGTGACCCTGCCGTGACTCCCGCTCCCTTCCTCTCTCCTTCCAACAGCCCTGGTCCTTCCGGAGGCCCAGACAACACAGCGCAAAGGGTTGGTCCCACACTTGTGGCAGTTGTCTCCCTGGGCACATCAGCCCCATGAATGCCTTGGCTCAGTGCCTGTGTCAGTGCTGGTTCTGGCATCACCACAAGGAGGGTTTTTCATGGAGAGGATGACTGTGGGACATGAATGGCACTGCTGGATGCTTCCCTGTAGGATGGAGTAGGAGGGTTCACTGGGTTTGCTGCTTGGCAGCCCCTGGCACAGGCACAGTGCCTGAGCAGCCACTGGGGACAGGCACTTGCATGTCCTCTGGGAAGCACCCAGCTGTGCTCTCTAGCCCTTGGCTGGCACTGTCAATGCCAGCTCCTGCTGCTAGTTCTGCCTGTCTGGTGTGCACAGCCATGCTCAGGGCATCATCTGTGGTTCAGGCTCTAGCACCTGGGCTGCCCTGTCTGGGATTCACAAAGGCCTGAGACCCTGCTGAATCTACACCAGAGGAACAAACATGCCAGCATTGTGGGATGCCATGGGACTGTGCACAGTGATGATTCCAGCATGCCAGCACTGCCATCTGAGGGGAACACTGATGTGAGACAGGACAGAGCCACTGCTGAGATGTCCCAGTCAGCTCTCAGACTGCCCCTTAACCCTGCCACAGCCATTGTGAATCCCTGACAGCATGTCAGGGCCATCCCTGCCCGTCCACAGGCCAGCACTCAGTGTGTGCTGCGGTGCTGGCAGGCAGGAGCTTGGCCTTCCTGGGATGCAGTCTAGCCCCACCTCAGCCATGACCACACCAGGATGTCCCCACCACCAGCACTGAAGTTCTGCAGGTATTTATAGGCATTTGTGGTACCCAGGCTGTCAGATCCAATTGTGCCTCTCGCCATGCCTGTCAGACCCTCTTGAGCCTCTCACTGTGCTACAGGGATGGAAGGTGGCTGGCAGTCCCTGGGAGCCTTTTCCTCCCTTTCTCCTGCCCCGTCCTCACCCTGTAGCTCTTGCCCATGCTCCTCCTCACTGTTGTAATCACCCTGTTTTGCTCCAGGCAGTGCAGCATGGCCAGGGCACAGCCTGCTCAAGGGAGAAGAGACTGTGTGGTCAACAAACCACACTTTTGTTATCCTGCTCAAACCTGGGGATGCTCTCCAATGTGATTGGGCCTTCCCAACCCAAAGACCTTCCAGCACTTGTCCCAGGCTTTGGGGAGAGCCCTGCAGTGCAGCAGGGCATTGCCACCCCATGGGACGGACAGCCCAGCCCCAGTGCCCAGCACCGATCCTACCTGGAGCACGGTGCCAGCGCGGCACAGGGCTGGACTGCTCCCTCACCTCTGCCTTCAGGACTTCTCCATCTGCTTCACACTGCACTCCAGCACCCGCCGCAGACACGAGATGCTTCCTCATTTGGGGATTGGTTTGCAGGCACTGACTGACAGGCACTGAGCTCTGCCACACCACCCCACACAGTGACAGCCCTGTGACCCCATGGTGCCCACCCCACATGCCTGCCCTGTGTAGCTTTGCACGAGGCTGCTGGGTGATCCTTGCTCCCAAGTTGCTTGCCCTGCTGAAAAATTGACCTTTTGGGACATAACTGGGTTGGCTGGCATGCAGCACCCCAATCTCCTCTCCCCACAGCCCCAGGGGTACATGGCACACACAGTACTCAGATGTAACCCCTTATCACCAAGGGAGCTGCTCCATCCAGGACAAAACTCCCACCAACAGGTCTCCAAGCGCCCCATGGGATGCTGCTCTGTCCCAGAACACACTAGCCTGGCAGACCAGGAGCCACAGCTAGACTTGGGACCCTCTCCAGCCCTAGCAGTGTCCCTGGGATGAGGTGCTGGACATGGTCAGAGCAGGAAGGGATGTTTCCTCGTGATGTTGTGGCCTGCAGTAAGACCCATCTCATTGCCAAGAAGCACCCTGAAGCAAAACGCAGGCCTTTTCCCAGGAAAAAAGCCATCCTGATGATGTATTGGCTCAGAAAGGAACCACTGTGCTCCTGCCATCTCCTGCTGAGTTTAAGGCCATGCTGGGCCCTCAGAGAGGTGCTGGAGCTGCTGTGACACCATACAGGACCTCTTGGGATAAGGGACACTTACCAAGTGTCAATTTGACCCACTTGGAGCTGTTACACCTTCCAGCAACTGATGCCCACTTGGGGCACCAGGGACAGAAGGTGAAGCACCAGCCATGGCAACAGTCCCTCTTCCTAGCACACCTCACTCTGATGTGATCTACGGTTGGAATTGAGAGGGTGCTGGCAGGAGTCTTCCCACCTCATCCAACCCAAAAGCATCCATCCCAAGGGCGCCCATGCCACCACCAGCCCTGACACATGGAGTGCCCAGCCTGCTCTCTGCCAGCATCTGGTGTTGCAACACTCCACAGCCATATGCTACAAGTACCCTTTTTTCCTCCTCCTGGAGGAAGTGGAGATGGGCCACAAAGCTCCAGGGTGCTCACAGAGGGGTCTGGAGATGCTGGTGCTGCCCAAGGCCATTAGCTATAGCTGGGTAGCCATCAACCCCCACCAGCTCCTATTCTGCACAGTGTGCACAGGCTACCAGCTCTAGCAGGTTTGAGGGCAAAGCTGGTCCCCAATAGTGCCTTGCCCTGGCATTTGGGGACAGTGCTGAGACCAGAATGTGTCCCCAGCTGACTGCATGGACATTCACAGCTTAGAGCTTGCATGGCAGCATGGGGGAGTTTGCCACTGCCCACTTGCTGGTGTTCCCTCAGCTGCCCCCAGCTGGAAAACAGCACCAGATTTGTCTTTGGGCAGCCTGGCAGGGACAGTGACTTGTCCCCAGAGAATGTAGCACAGCCTAGTGCAAGGTCCCAGCTCCAAGCCAACCACCCAGGCTGGCTGGGCAGTGCGGGGTGAGGAAGGGACTCCGCAGAACCTACCCTCTAAAGGTTTCCTCTTCCTCTGGGGGACAATTGTACTTCCCCTATCTGCAGCCAAAATGAGGGGCTCTGGCACTCCTGGAAATACCCTCTTTTTGTAGAAATCCCCTCCCACAGCTCCTGGCCAAGCCCTTCCTGACCTTCCATGGCTCTTTCCAGGGGCAGGTAGTCATAACAAGGCTCTGCCCTCAGCCCCTGCCCATCCATGCTGCTTTTCCTATGCCATTGGGTGTCCAGTGCTTTCTGCCTGTCTCAGCAGCTCCCACTGGCCAAACCTGTGACCCCGCATTTTAGGCAGACACAGGGCACAGGGCTGGGTGGGATGTGGTACTGTATCCAGGCTGTTTCTTACCTGATATGTCCATGTCATCCAGGCTGGGCTGCAGGGGTGCCAAATCTGGCTGTATCACGTCAGCGTTCCCAACATACACTGGAAGAAGGCAGAGCTGGAACATCAAGGCCCAGCCACTGCATCCCCAAGACCCACCTTGAGGGCTGCTCCCATCACTGCCCTGCCACCTACCTGGCTGCCACTCTTCTGTGTCACCTCAGAGTCACCCTGTATCACTGCACCCTGCGCTGGGCAGGGAGGTAAGTGCCTACCCTGCGGAGAGCCAAGGCCATCCCATCCCACCACTCTGTCCATCAGCACCTCTAGGGCCTCATCCAGTTCCCAGGAACCCCAGTGAAAGGCTGATCTTTGGCGCAGGACCTGGCTGGAGCTGCAGATGCCTGAGGCACATGGCCAGGTAGGTACAGCAAAGAGTGGCTATGGAAGCAAGACCTGCCCTGAGGGGTCACCTGAAGAGGCAAAGTCCTTCATGGTGCCTGTGGTCCCTGGGGAGCTCAGCCATGGGACAGCGCATACTGGTACATAGGAAACTACAGGAGAAGGGGGATGATCTCAACCTGCCCAAACACTCCTTAAGGATCCCCTCCCCTGGTGGCCCCTGTTTAGGCAGGAAAAGAACATCTCTTCCCCCTGCTCCATCAGGGCAGGTGCCAGGGGACCCTGCCTGCCCAAAAGCATGACTGGCAGCTCTCAGAGGCTAAGCGAAGAGGCAGCATCTGGATTCCTCCTCCACATCCTGCTGAAGCATGGTCTGCAACACCTACCATCCTCAGGGAGTGCCTGGTGGGTGCTGGGCATCTGTGTCATGGTGAAGAGGGTATCAGATATGTCCGAAAGGAAGGTGTCCAAATCGAAATGCTGCCTGCTCCCACACTCCTCCTCCTCATCCCCAAGCAGCATGGGCACTACATTGCAGAAGAGCTGGTTGCACCATTTCTCTGTTGGCCTCCAGACATCCTCGTCCTGCATGAGATAGAGCAAAGGAGCCCAGTGGACACCTTTTGTGGGCAGGGTCCATGTCTGGCTCCCTGGCTGCTCCCCATGGCAGCTCCCATGCTCCCTGCAAACCTTAATGCCTGGCACATTGCTGCTTCCAGAGGGTGAATCCAGCATCCCAGATGCTTAGCATCCCATTCCAATGGGCTTATCATACCCTGGTGCTTTTCTTTGCCCTTCTGCCCAGTGCAGAATTGGATGCAAATTGTACCCCACTTTCTCCCACTTCCCACCCTTTCTCAGCAGGCTCACCTGCTTTGGACTGCAGATCTCTTCCTCTCGTGCGGACTTTCGGAGCTGGAAGGAGAAGACAGCCTACGTCACCCCCCAGGCAGGGAGAGCTCAGGGGGCCAGCCAGCATCCCCCTCCCATGCTGGCAAAAGCCTGTCACATCCCGCCCTGTGAGCCATGGCTGCAGGCTGGGCACACTGTTCCATCCCACTGCTGGCACTGCCACATGATGGGGAGCAGCACGGGCAGAGCCACTCACCCGCTTCTTATAGTAGATCCTCCATTTGTGGTACTCCCTCATCACCACCTCAATGCGGCGTTTCCAGTAGTTGCCCTCCAGCACAACAGCCTGGGGGGCAGGACAGGGGGTCATGGCTGAGCTCCCTGGCCCCAGCACCCCAGAGGCAGGGCTGCTTTCCTTGTGCCATATCAGAAACACCTTTTCCAGCAAATCTATGAAATGCATCGTGCCCCCAGATCCCCACTGTGCCACACAGACCTGCTGCTGCCCCAGAGAGCTGCAAGGGACTCTGCCCTACCTCTGGTTTTCGGTGCTCATCAGCCTCCATGCCCTCCAGAGGGGTGATGAAGCTGCACACAGGGTTTTTCCTCCGCTCCACATCTGCACAGGGGAGAATGCAGCTGGCTGTATCCATGCCCCATCCCTATCTCTGCACCTGTACATGGCCGTTCCAATGCCAGCCCCATCCCACAGCCTGGCATCTGGCAGAGTGGGGTCTGGCCCATACTCACACTGGATGTACCATGCTCTCCAGATCACGTTGTTGAGTCGAATTTTATCCCAGCAAAGCAGTCGCAGCCCCTTGAAATTCTTCCACTTTGGAGATACTAGCTTCCCACTGAAACACCAAGCAAAGGGGAGGCTGAGGGGTACCACCTTGAAAGATGCCCAGGGGCCACCAGCCTGGTGGAAGTCAGGAGCATGTGGCTCCACTGCAGGTGTTTGCCAGGCATCTGTGGGAGCACCCACAGGAGAATTCCAAGCTTCTGCACACCCTGGGAAAAGCACAGCCCTAAACCTTGAGCTTCACAGACCCACAGGAGGTGTCTCAAACCCCTGGATTAAAGCGCAGCACACTGAGGCATTGATTCCTTGATGTCTGAACCTCAGCTTTCAGGCGGAATCCCACTGCCCCCAACCAAGCCAGCTGTGTTCTGGCCCTGGGGGACAGGAAGGCAAGTCTCCAGGTGAGATGTGTGGTGACATGTACTGTAGCGGCTCTTGCCTCATCACAGTGTTTGGGCATCTAATTCTGACCTTCCCTTTAACACCAGGCAAGGCTTGGAAATGCTGTCTTCAGCTGGGGCAGTCAGGGGCAGCCACCGTGGAGGGTCTGGGAAGGCAGGACAACACTAGAGGATGATCAGGATGTTAAGGAACCTTGCCTGTGCTCCAAGACAGACACAGAGTGACATCAGCCCTGCCCTCAGACAGAGCTGCCCCAGCCTCTTCTCCACACTGATCCCTGCAAACCTGCCCACCCCAGCCCGAGCTGGACTCCCTGCTTCCCAATTCCTGATGCCCAGAGGCAGCTGTGTTTGTTCTGCATCTCATCTTAGTGTGGGTGGTGATGTCCCTGATGGGATTTGCAGTGAAAGGAAGCCTCATTTCACTCCCTGTTTCCATCCAGCCAAGGGACACAATCCCTCATGTGCAGCCACCCAGGAGGTCCTGAGGGCCCTGCTGCCCCAGGAGCTCTGTGGGGAAGGACAGGGTCCCTCTGCCTTACTTTGAGGTCCATTTCACCTCTCCAGCTCTCCCAATGGCCTCAGGGCAATGTCAGGTGCTCCAGGGGTCCCTTTGAGAGCTGCTGGCTGCAGGCTGCATGGCATTCCTGCCTGGGAAGCCATGTCTCTCTCTCCAGCAGACAGTTTGTACCCTAAGTATCTTGGTGCTGCTTTGACTCCCACTTTTTCTTGGTACATGCGTGGAGCAGGAAAGGTGGAGGCTGAGCTGGTGTCAGGGTGCTGTATCCCCTGTTCCCAGCCCCTTCAGGTGCCACCAGGCAGTGTCCCCAGGGAGATGCTGGGGATGAGAGTGGTGTATGAAGCCTCTGACTTGTTCATTCAAACTTGTGAAACTTTTAACTGTTCTCAAATAATGATTTTGGTAGGTTCTCTTTTGACCTGCCTTGAAATCTGCCTCTGGCAGAGGGGGAAGACTGGGGAGCCCTACAATTCCAGAGCCTGATGCAGGGATGTGTCTAGGAGCAGGTGCAGGAGTGGATGGGGATGGTCTCCCAAGGGAGAACCAGCCTGACACACAGCCCCAGGGCCTGGGGAAGGACCTGTGACTCCAACCGGCAGAGAGTCAAGGCTGATACTGATCACTCCACTATCACCAGGATTTTGAACTTTCCCCAGGAGCACAAGGCAAACAGCAAGATGGTGCCAAGTGAAGGAGCCAATGGAAGGGACAGAATTCCTGGGCACGTGGCCAGATCCTGCTGGTCAAGGGCATGTTCCTCATTCACAGCCAGCTGAGAAGAGCAGTCTGAGCCTGTGGGACACACTGGCCTCGTGTGAGGCCCGTGGGCCATGGCTAGGAGTTGCTGTGGGACCTGGAGGCAGCAGGGAGATGCCTCTGAACTTTACCACCAAATGCCTTTTTCCCCCCTTTAATGATCCCTTCAGTTTTGGGGCTTACCAGGCTGATCTTTGCTCCCTGTTTTGCCTTGAAAAGGGCCCCACCCTTCTTTGCAATTATCTCCCCTGGGGAGATTGATGCAAACTTCACATTGAACCATGGGAGGGGTATAGGGTGCCCCAAACAGGCTGGGGGTCCTGGTGCCCTCCACTGTCAGAAGGAGGGGAACACGAATCCTGCCACTGGCGACAGGGTGTTTGTGGGATAGGGTGAGGTGGCAATAGGGCTCAGCCTGGGTCCAACGCTGGCATGGGTCCAGCAGCACCTTGTTTAGTCTGTGATTCATTTACCCATCCAGCAGTTTCAGGTGTTGCAGTCTTTGATTTCATGGCAACACAAGTACTTCTTCATCTTCATCAAGAGCAAGACGAGCAGGGAAAAGAAGCGTGATCTGGAGAGATGCAGGGCCGCACCAGCACACCAGCCCAGTCCCTCAGCACAATCCTTGAACAGGATCAGCATCAAAACCTTAGGGAATGACAGAAGAACGGAGTGCAGCTCCCTGCCACTAATGACAGCAGAGCCACAGTGCAGCACGGGTGGGTTAAGCCCAAGCACAATCCTTCCCCACTCATCAGACCCCTTAGAACAGAGGTCTTCTTCCAGAAGAAAAATGGGGTTGGATGAACTCCTGTAAGTGCATCCCTGGAGTCTCTGCCTGGTGTTCACTACCCCTGGGTGAGCATTTAAGGCACTGTGAATCAGAGAATCAGTAGCAGCAATTCCTCCTCTCCCAGGGGAGACAGAGGCTGATAAGAAGTAGATACCTTGTTTTAAAACACAAGAGAGGCAGAGTATATGTTCCAAGTCACTTCCCAGTCTTCTGTTCCTGCCTACCAAGACAGATGTCACCAGGTGAGACCACGAGTGACTGCAGCTCACATCTCCCAATCTGCCCCCAGTTTTCCTTCCTTCAAGAGGATGTTCCCCATGTCAGTGATTCCCGACAATAATTGACAGGATGGGGTGTGGTGATGGAGAGGATGAGCCTTCTTGTGCTAAGGTCATAGTGTAAGCAGCTCCTGAGGGAGCTCAGCTCCACCCTCAGCTTTTTGGGTAATGAGACACAGCCAGGTGGGCTACATGGAGAAACAACATTCTAGGGAAGGAGTCAAGGAATGCAGGATGTTGCAGGAGTGGAAAAGGATCATTAAAGCAGGAAGCTGCTCTAAATGTCCTGGAATACAGGTAAAAATGAACTGCTTCACCCTAGCCTTAGGAGGAAGACCTCAGAGAGGGGAGTTGCTTCTCTTTGGGGGGATCTGAAGGAACAAGTTACTGCTGAAAGCAAACCTTGATGAGGAGGGAACATTTCTTTACCAGTGAGGGGTGATGTACAGTCCTGCCCATGGAAGGAAGATAAGTCATATCCCCAGATTGTTCAGGCTGAGACAGGACTGCTATAATGTCTGGGAAATGCAGAGGGGGAGTGCTGGAGAAGGAAGGAATTCTAGTTGTAGCCACTGAAAAATATTTAGGGAAAGCTTAGTGAGTTGCCTTTGAAATTGTGTGAGCCCAGACGGCAAATGATGGGTGGCTGCAGCAGTCACAGCTCACCAGGAGACAGGATAGTTTTCCTCTCTGCTTCACACTGTTATGGCCAAGTCTGGACACTGTGTCCGATAGACAAAGAGGGAGATTAAACTGGAGTGATCCTGGAAAAGGATATCAAGGTGGTTGGGACTTATATATGTGACAGAAGATGAGTGTGAGGGATGGGTTTGTTCAGCCTGAAGAAGGTGAAGAGAGAATTACTGCCATCAGCTGCCCAAAGGAGGAGATGGAGGCAGACAGTTCTCAAACATCCACTGAGAAAGGCCAAGGGGAAATGGACATAAGAATTGGAACATGTAAACTCCAAACTAGAGCCATGGACAGCAATTCCTTGCAGGAGAGGGGCAGTCCTGGGCAGGCTGGACAGGTGGTGGGCTCACATCCTAGGGCTCCATCTGTCAAAGTGATGGCCCTGAGCAATCTGACATGGCTTTGGATCTAGCCCTGCCCTGCACGAGGGCTGGATGAAGAACTCCACAGGTGCCTCCCAGGTGACAGCTTACAGTGGTTTCTCCTTGGTTAGGAAGTTAGTCTGAGCTTAACTGTGGGTGCTCTCTTGAGGGCTGGAGGATATTGGGCTGGTGACCCCGCTGCCTCTGGGAACCTGTCTGGGAAGGGAGTTGTGAAATGGCAGGTGATGTAGAGAAGTATCAAATCAGACACCACTAAATGAAGAAACGCACCAAGAACACTTAAATCTATTTTCCCAACCTGATACCTTTCTCCAGCTGCTGCCTACAAATGTGTCGAAAATGTACTTACAAAAGAAAGGCTGAGTGAGCCGGGGTTGTCCAGCCTGGAGAAGGCTCTGGGGAGACCTTAGAGCCCCCCTCCCCCACTGCTTAAGGAGGGTCCAAGAGAGCTGGAGAGGGATTTTGGACAAGGGCCTAGAGTGACAGGACAAGGGGGAATGATTTCACAGTGTCAGAGGGCAGGGCTAGATGAGATTTTGGGAAGAAATTCTCCCCTGTGAGGGTGGTGAGGTCCCAGCACAGAGAAGCTGTGGCTGCCCCCGGAAGGGCAAGGCTTGGGTGAGTGTCCCACTACATAGGAGGCAGCATTTGCACTGCCATGCTCAGTGTAGGAGGGAAATGAGCCACTCAGAGTCCAGGGGGTAGGGAGAACTGGAGCAATGGAGCCCTGACTGCAGTGGAATGGCCAGTCCCCAGTCACACACAGTACTCCAACTGTCAAAGTCTTTGTACCCTGTTTCCACTCTGCCTGGGAGCTCCAGAGCCCAGGGACACACTTGAAGCTACCTTGCACGAGTCTATAGTTCGAGCACCTTGGTGTGACAGTTTCTGTTTCTTCAGCCTCAAAGCTGCAGGGCCCAGGTATGGAAAGAATGGGGCTGGGAGAGGTCACAAGTGTCTCTACGTCCCCTGTTTGTGGCACTCAGGGGTGACCTGCCCAACCATGAAGCATGATCCTCACCTGGGTCACACCACACTGATGCTCCCTGTGCTTCCACAGAGCACTGCCTTCCCTAGCTCCTTGGAGCAGAGCTGTGCTGTGCTGGCAAACTGGGATGATCCCATCCACCACCTGGGATATGGTGACGGGTCAGATGTCCACAACTATGTGGGTACTGGTACCTTTTGGAGTGCTGTCTCTGTGCCCAGCATCCACAAGGATGTCCTGGCAGTGACCACATATCCTATGGCATTGAGTACTGAAGGACTCCAAGGCAAACCTGAGAGCTCAGCCACTGGATGACACCCTGGATGAGACAATGGGCATCTCTTCAAGGCTGCTTTGCTGAGATTTTGCTTTCATGTGGTAGGACATCATCATCTAGGTTTTCACATTTGGACATTTTGGGAAAGCTCTGCAAGCAGTTTGGCACTGACTCTAGAAGAGCAAGTCATGCTGATGCCACACTGGAGAGAAATCAAAACCTTGGGGCTTGGCAAAGGAGGGGAGCTGCCTCCAAGAATGTGGACCGTGGCCATAGGAGACATTGCAGTCTGTCCTGTTCTCACCAAAGAGCTGCCACTGGACTTTGGCAATTTGTGTGGCAGGGGAACAATGCAGTCACCCATCTCATTTTGCAGAGAGAAGGAGGAAAGCTTTCAGGAGACTTTGGGCAAAACCCATGCAGCCATGCAGCCCCAAGTGCTGCTGCATGTCATGGAATAACCTCAGGACATGGGGACAGAGTCAAGGACGGAAGGCAGGACTCCTGCTCTGGGCTGGATTGCCAAAGAACTGAGTGTTAGCTGTCCACAGGGTCACTGCTGCTCTACAGAGTGTGCCAGGCCTGGCCATGGGGGAATATAGCTGGGCACAGTGATACCTGATCTCATTGGAGAGCGGAGGAGAGTCAAGCTACATGTGAACAGAGAAGCTTCTCACCTCACTCCATAGCCAACAACCCAACATCAGCTCCTTCTCCCTGAAACTTACCAGGATGGCAATTTCTGAGCATATGGCACATCACAGCCCATGGAGAAGAGGAGGAGGAGGTCAGATGGAAAAAAATTCCTGGCTGGGGAACTGGGCTCAGCTAGCCTCCTGCCTTCAGCTAGCTGGGGGTCTGTAAGACACACGCGAGAGCCCTGGGACTCACCTGTACTCCAGGCTCATGCACTCAAAGAGCCAGGTGAGGGTCGGATCGATACTCCGGGGATCAGCTGGTTCGGGCTCAGTACGGTGGTGCCGTCGCCGGGGCAGTGAGTCGCTGTGCGGGCATGACACCATGAAGTGGCCACTGTGAATGACCTGGGAGGAGTTCTGTGCTGCAGCGTTGGGTCTTGTGCCACCCACAGCTCTGGGATCCTCCGACTCAGAGTCAGAGTCGGAGATGGGGCAAGGCCCAACTGGAGGCTCCAAGAAAGGTCCTGGTAGTCCCACCTGAGCTCCTGCCATTCCTGCCACCTACTGGGAAGCTCTTATGGATCTGATCCAGCACTGTGATCCACGTCCCGGTTGAGCTGAAGTCCTACAGGCACTGCATTGGCATCGAGCACATGCTGTTGGGCTCCCCAGTACAGGATACTGGCATCACGCCTCCTCCTAGGCACCTCCTCCACCCAGCCCACACTGTCTGTTCCTCGCTCCAGGGTTCAGCAGTTATTCCCCAGGGCAGATTCGCTGCCAGCTCTATTTATAGTGCTGGTGACTGATCCCGCCCATGGCACACCATCAGCAGGATGCGTCCAATGGCCACCAGGCACCAGAGCTTCAGTTCCATGCCAGTGTCCTGCTCCAGCAGCGTCCAGCTTTTACATCCAACTCCAGCCTTTACATCCCCCACACACCTGGGGAGGAGCACTTTGGGTCCCCTGTCCCTCCTTGCTGTGGCCAAGGGCTGACTGGCAGTCAGCTCTGTTTACCCGGAGTTAATCGTTGATCCCGGGTGCTGGTGGAGTGAGGAGCAGGCGGTATTTACCCAGTGCCTCTGCTTTAATGGATCTCCCTGCACTTTCAAGGGAACAAACACAGATCAAGGGACACAAACAGGTAAAATTATAGCAACGGGCACTCAGCTCAGCACAACACAGGCCAAGGCACTGAGCCAAGTGCTGAGCTGAGAAACAGCCCCAGGAAAACCTACTCCAAGCTGTGACCCAGCAAGAGAGGGGATACAAACAACAAATGTGACAGAGAACAGCTATGAGCTTGGGTATGGTGGGATTTACACACCTTGTGGTCACGCAGTCCTTAAAATCAAAGAATTATCAAATCCTAGAATCATTTGGGTTGGAACAGACCTTAAAACTCACCTCATTCCACTCCCCTTCCACTAGATCAGGGACACCTTCCACAAGAACAACCTGGCCTGGAATACTTCCAGGGATGAGGCAGCCACAGATTTTCTGGAGAACTTGTGCTGAGATCTCACCACTCTCACAGGAAAGAATTTTTTCCTAATATCCAGTCTAAATCCGAACCTCTACCTCTGAGGTTTCCTGAGAGAGGCAGGCAGGCAGGGCTTGATGCATCAACCTCCTGCTCCACGACAGTGGCTCCAGGATAAATACAGGATGTGGAATGTGCCATCCCAACCAGACCTGTGTCATGAGCATCTGCTCACTGGCTTGAGCCACAGAGGGGCACAGCACATATCATTTCAGACCTAAACCACTTCTTTTCTCTCTAGTTCCTGGTAACTTCTTTCCCAGCCCCACATCCTGAAAGAACCACACGTGCCTGGAAAACACCCAGGCACGGATCTTAGGTACCTCCGATGGAGGTACAGTATAAATGGGTGGGGTAAACCCAACACAGACAGCTGCAGTCAGTGGAACCCTAATCCAGTTTGTAGATGCTTTGTGACAGATGCTTTCATCTGGCTGTAATTAAAGTCTTCGCACCTGGAGGAGCTGCAGCTGCATGGACCTCGCATCTCCAGGTCCTCTATGGTGATAACTACTTAACAGTGACAACCCGTTGCTGGAGTTTGCGCCATCAATACGCACCCAGGAACGCCTGCCTGCTGAGCAGAGACTTTTCTCACAGATCACCACCCCAGCTTTGGTATCTCCCAGAACAGGACAAATCACCAGACCCTGAAAATGTAGCCACTTCCCTCCCCAGCAGAGCCAAACAGCCAGCCCATGATGGGATTTTCCTCTTCAGGAAAAGGGGAACAGCTGCACACTGTCCAAATGCAGGAGTGCCATCTCCTGGGCACTGGAAGACAGTATACAACAGCCTCGGAAAACCATCCTGGAGTAACTCAGAGCTCTCGAGGCTGAGAAGCTGCTGCAACGGGCAGGTACTGCCCATGAAGAGAAATCCAACCTCTGGGTGGCTCAGCAAGCAGCCGCAGCTCTCTGGTGAGTGTGTGCTTAACCTGTGCCAGGAACTATATACAATTTCCCAGACTGAAAAATGACTGGGGGACACCAGACCTTTACCAGTCCTGTATCGACAGCAGAGGGTTGCCATGCCTCGGATCCCAATGGTTTGCTATGGAGGACCGGGCACATGGCTCCACAGTGGATGTGCAGGCACAGGCAGCTCACACTCCCATCCCTCCCTCTGGTCCTGCCTCCCTCAGCTCCCTGCCCTGCCTCCAGCTGCCCCGAGGCTGCTCCCAGCCCAAGGACCTGTCCTGTGCCTGCTGCCCCCATCCCTGCATGCTGCCATTCCCCAGGGTCAGACCCCCTGATGTGTCCCCAGTGTCGGAGCTACAGTGGCCATATTCACACAACACTGCCTTTCAGCTAAGCATGTTCTTCCCAAATTATACTGCTGCATAGGTCTGCATCTGCTCCCCATTCTCCCTCAATTCATTACACTCCAGTCTTCCTTCTCGTCCCCACTTTGCCCTGAAGCCCAGAGGCAGACATACACACGTAGAATTTCAGTTCACGTACTCTGACAAAATAACATGGAATGAAGCCAACATCAATGTGAAGTATCACAAGAACCTGTTTCACTGGCTGTGAGCTGACCGTGTTTTCAAGCAACTCCTACAGCAGCTTACAGGGGTAATGGGAATCCTCAACAACCAGTCTTACACTCACTGATGGATTTATGGCATTACCTATCTGTTCTGGTACTAAATAGAATCACAGAATCATGGAATGGGATAGGCTGTGATACCTTAAAGATCATTTTGTTCCATACAAATAATGGACAGGACAACTGTTCACTAGACCAGGCTGCTCCAAGCCCTGTCCAGCCTATCCCTGGACACTTCCAGGGATGGGGCATAACTTCAGTGGGAACCTGTTCCATTGCAGAATACTACTACCAAAAACAATGATATAAGAGTGAACACTTGTGTTACAGCATTACCTTTCTTTCCTGCCTGTTTACAATGCTGTGGAAAATACAGCGGATTTCTGATTCCAGCAGACACTACGCTCTGTGCTCCATTATGCAACTGCTGTGTTCCAGGGATACTCACGGCACAAATGTCTTCCCAGAATTACAGAACACCTCAAATGAGTGTGCACTTAGGGAAGTTAAATGCTTTTAATACTTCACCAGAAGAAATTATGGAATCCTCACTCCCATAAAGCAATCTAGTAAACACATAATAATAATCTGATGATTACATCTACAATCCGGAAAACAGCGTGTGAGATCCAGTTACTCTTCTGTCTGATAGGGATATAAATTACACCATTAACTCTGTTGCTCCACAGCAGAACTGGTCTCAATTCATACATCCCCTTGCGCCAAATCACTCAGCATAAACAGCCTGACACAGGGCACAGTTAGACTGGGCATTGGGAGAAAATTCTTCCCTGTGAGAATGGTGAGGCCTTGGCACAGGTTGCCCAGAGAAGCTGTGACTGCCCCATCCCTGGAAGTGTCTCAAGGCAAGGGTGAATGGGACTCGGAGCAACTTGGTCTAGTGGAAGGGATCCCTGTCCATGGCAAGGGTTGGAACAAGATGATCTTTAAGGTCCCTTCCAATCCAAACCCAAATATGATTCTATGATTCCGAGCAGTTTTCTAGGGCTGCCGCTTCTCATCCTGAAGCAGCCACAACAGGGCTGTATAATGCAGACCTAGTTAGTCTTCAGTGCCATGAGCAGCACAAACTCAGAATCCCTAGAAGATATTTGCACACTAAACACAAATCTGCTTTCCCAAGCCCTGGGAAAGATGTACGAGATCACCGTTTCTGCTTTGACTGCTTTAGGCAGGCAGTGCTCGAGCTGCTGCTCCTTCAATCCCCGGTAAACGTTCACGACACAAAAACTCCCCACACATTTCCTATGAAGAAAAAATAAAGTCATAAATCCACCCCACAACTCTCGAAATTTTTGCTTTCCTCCATTCCCAGGAGCAGCACCCACGGGGTGGCTGGGCTTCCTTCCCCACTTCCCCCACAGCCGTCAGGCCGCGGCTCCCTTCCTCTCCTCTTCCTCCTCATCCGCCCCGGAGGCCAGCCCACCGGAGCCGCCGCTCCGCTTCCCTGCAGAGCGGAGGGACTCAGCGCCGAGGAGACGCTGAGAGCTCGCACGGTTGGACCCGGCCCGGGCCTTCCTAAGAGGGCAGCTGCGCCCGCCACAGACACCCCTACAACCCCACAATGCCCCGCGCTAGACGCGGAGGACAAAGCCCAGCGCGCGCCCCGCCGCGGTAGCCGGATAGGCGCGAGGAGAGGCGGTGGCCAGAACGCGCTCTGATTGGTGGCCGCGGGACTGGAGGGGGCGGAGTGCGCTGTGATTGGCCGTCACGAGACAGTGGGGAGGGCGAATAACGGGGGGCCACAAAATGGAGCCGCGCAGTGCGCCGCTACTTACATAACGTGACCTCTCACCCCGCCGAGCCGGCGGGGTGGGGCGCGGCGGCGCGATCGACCGGCCGTGCGGCCAATCCGCAGCTGGCGACTCGGGCGTCCCGCCAATAGACTGTCGGCGCCGCGGCGTGGGGGGTGGGAGTTGTGGGGCGGGGCGGCAGGGTCGGGGCGCGCGCGCGGGGTCGGTCCCGCCGCCCGCCGTGAGGGGGAGCGGAATCTCCCGCCATTTTTCAACCGTCCCTCCCGGGCCCCGTCGGGTCCCACCATGGCGCCGCTACTCGGTCGCAAGCCGTTCCCGCTAGCTAAGCCATTGCCGCCGGGGGAGCCGGGCGAGCGGTTCGTCATCCCCCACACGCAGGAGGCCTTCCGCACCCGCGAGTATCCGCCACACCGGGGCGCGGGGGGGACGGGGCGGGTCCCGGGGCGGTGGCGCCGAACAAAGCGGTGGTGGGGCCGCGCGGGGAGCGGGACCGTGAGGGCAGCGCGGCGGGGTCGTTGTTCCACGGGGAGTTCCGGATCGTGTTCAAGGCGGGCGGGGGAAGCAGGACGGCAGCTCCGCGGGGCTGGAGCGGGCGGGGAGCAGAGCTAACGGGGACCGGGGACCGTCAAAGCGGGCTGTGAGAGCAGTTCACGTACTCCTGGAGCGGCTGCGGACATTGGAGTCCCACGGGCCAGGAGCACACTGGAACCGGAGGCTTCCGTATCTCTTCTTGGGCTGCTTTTGCATAAAACCTTTTTTTTTTTTTTTTTTCCCCCTCCCTGTCCTCCCTGCGTGACAGCCCTTGGTCGCAGGAAGTGGCCGTGGGCCAGGCAGGTGGCTGACAGAGCTGCGCGACAGCAGAGCCACTGTCGAGGTCTGCAGCAGGGCTG